GTAGTGATTGTCCCTTTGATTTCCGCTTTTTGTTCTCGCAATCAAGTATGCATTTGTTGTTATACGTCTTACCGTCGCTGGCACAAACTGGATCAAAGATCTTGGTACAAACGCAACTGTCGCATACACCTTATTGACGATAGTCAGTGGTGGTTGTCCTTGTGATTTTCTCTTCCTGTTCTCGCAGTCAAGGTTGCAGTTGTTGCTATACGTCTTACCGTCGCTGGCACAAACTGGATCATAGATGTCTGTACAAACGCAGCTGTCGCATACACCTTTATTGACGATAGTCAGTGGTGGTTGTCCTTGTGATTTTCGCTTCTTGTTTTCACAGCCAAGTGTGCAGTTGTTGCCATACGTTTTGCCGTCGCTGGCACAAACTGGTTCATAAATAGCGGGACAAACACAACTGTCGCATTCACCTTTATTGACGATAGTCAGTGGTGGTTGTCCTTGTGATTTTCTCTTCTTGTTCTCGCAATCAAGTGTGCAGTTGTTGCTATACGTTTTGACGTCGCTGGCACAAACTGGATCATAGATGTCGGTACAAACGCAGCTGTCGCATACACCCTTATTGACGATAGTCAGTGGTGGTTGTCCTTGTGATTTTCGCTTCTTGTTCTCACAGCCAAGTGTGCAGTTGTTGCCATACGTTTTGCCGTCGCTGGCACAAACTGGATCAAAGATCTTGGTACAAACGCAACTGTCGCATACACCCTTATTGACGATAGTCAGTAGTGGTTGTCCTTGTGATTTTCTCTTCTTGTTCTCGCAGCCTAAAGTGCAGTTGTTGCTATACGTCTTACCGTCGCTGGTACAAACTGGATCATAGATGTCGGTACAAACGCAGCTGTCGCATACACCCTTATTGACGATAGTCAGTGGTGGTTGTCCTTGTGATTTTCGCTTCTTGTTTTCACAGCCAAGTGTGCAGTTGTTGCCATACGTCTTGCCGTCGCTGGCACAAACTGGTTCATAAATAGCGGGACAAACACAACTGTCGCATTCACCTTTATTGACGATAGTCAGTGGTGGTTGTCCTTGTGATTTTCGCTTCTTGTTTTCACAGCCAAGTGTGCAGTTGTTGCCATACGTTTTGCCGTCGCTGGCACAAACTGGTTCATAAATAGCGGGACAAACACAACTGTCGCATTCACCTTTATTGACAATAGTCAGTGGTGGTTGTCCTTGTGATTTTCGCTTCTTGTTCTCACAGCCAAGTGTGCAGTTGTTGCTATACGTCTTACCGTCGCTGGCACAAACTGGATCAAAGATCTTGGTACAAACGCAACTGTCGCATTCACCTTTATTGACGATAGTCAGTGGTGGTTGTCCTTGTGATTTTCGCTTCTTGTTCTCGCAGCCAAGTGTGCAGTTGTTGCTATACGTCTTACCGTCGCTGGCACAAACTGGATCATAGATGTCGGTACAAACGCAGCTGTCGCATACACCCTTATTGACGATAGTCAGTGGTGGTTGTCCTTGTGATTTTCGCTTCTTGTTCTCACAGCCAAGTGTGCAGTTGTTGCCATACGTCTTGCCGTCGCTGGCACAAACTGGTTCATAAATAGCGGGACAAACACAACTGTCGCATACACCTTTATTGACGATAGTCAGTGGTGGTTGTCCTTGTGATTTTCTCTTCTTGTTCTCGCAGCCAAGTGTGCAGTTGTTGCTATAAGTTTTGCCGTCGCTGGCACAAACTGGATCATAGATGTCGGTACAAACGCAGCTGTCGCATACACCCTTATTGACGATAGTCAGTGGTGGTTGTCCTTGTGATTTTCGCTTCTTGTTCTCACAGCCAAGTGTGCAGTTGTTGCCATACGTCTTGCCGTCGCTGGCACAAACTGGATCAAAGATCTTGGTACAAACGCAACTGTCGCATTCACCTTTATTGACGATAGTCAGTGGTGGTTGTCCTTGTGATTTTCTCTTCCTGTTCTCGCAGTCAAGTGTGCAGTTGTTGCTATACGTCTTACCGTCGCTGGCACAAACTGGATCATAGATGTCTGTACAAACGCAGCTGTCGCATACACCTTTATTGACGATAGTCAGTGGTGGTTGTCCTTGTGATTTTCGCTTCTTGTTTTCACAGCCAAGTGTGCAGTTGTTGCCATACGTTTTGCCGTCGCTGGCACAAACTGGTTCATAAATAGCGGGACAAACACAACTGTCGCATACACCTTTATTGACGATAGTCAGTGGTGGTTGTCCTTGTGATTTTCTCTTCTTGTTCTCGCAGCCAAGTGTGCAGTTGTTGCTATAAGTTTTGCCGTCGCTGGCACAAACTGGATCATAGATGTCGGTACAAACGCAGCTGTCGCATACACCCTTATTGACGATAGTCAGTGGTGGTTGTCCTTGTGATTTTCTCTTCTTGTTCTCGCAGTCGAGTACACAATTGTTGCTATACGTTTTGCTGTCGCTGGCACAAACTGGTTCATAAATAGCGGGACAAACACAACTGTCGCATTCACCTTTATTGACAATAGTCAGTTGTGGTTGTCCTTGTGATTTTCGCTTCTGGTTCTCACAGCCTAAAGTGCAATTGTTGCTATACGTCTTACTGTCGCTGGCACAAACTGGATCATAGATGTTGGTACAAACGCAGCTGTCGCATACACCCTTATTGACGATACTCAGTGGTGGTTGTCCTTGTGATTTTCTCTTCCTGTTCTCGCAGTCAAGTGTGCAGTTGTTGCTATACGTCTTACCGTCGCTGGCACAAACTGGATCATAGATGTCGGTACAAACACAACTGTCGCATTCACCTTTATTGACAATAGTCAGTGGTGGTTGTCCTTGTGATTTTCGCTTCTTGTTCTCACAGCCAAGTGTGCAGTTGTTGCTATACGTTTTACCATCACTGGCACAAACTGGATCATAGATCTTGGTACAAACGCAACTTTCGCATACACCTTTTTTGACGATAGTCAGTGGTGGTCGTCCTTGTGATTTTCTCTTCTTGTTCTCGCAGTCAAGTGTGCAGTTGTTGCTATACGTCTTACCGTCGCTGGCACAAACTGGATCATAGATGTTGGTACAAACGCAGCTGTCGCATACACCTTTATTGACGATAGTCAGTGGTGGTTGTCCTTGTGATTTTCTCTTCTTGTTCTCGCAGCCAAGTGTGCAGTTGTTGCTATACGTTTTGCTGTCGCTGGCACAAACTGGTTCATAAATAGCGGGACAAACACAACTGTCGCATTCACCTTTATTGACAATAGTCAGTGGTGGTTTTCCTTGTGATATTCTCTTCTTGTTCTCGCAGTCGAGTGCGCAGTTGTTGCCATACGTTTTGCCGTCGCTGGCACAAACTGGTTCATAAATAGCGGGACAAACACAACTGTCGCATTCACCTTTATTGACAATAGTCAGTGGTGGTTGTCCTTGTGATTTTCTCTTCCTGTTCTCGCAGTCAAGTGTGCAGTTGTTGCTATACGTCTTACCGTCGCTGGCACAAACTGGTTCATAAATAGCGGGACAAACACAACTGTCGCATTCACCTTTATTGACGATAGTCAGTGGTGGTTGTCCTTGTGATTTTCTCTTCTTGTTCTCGCAGTCGAGTGCGCAGTTGTTGCCATACGTTTTGCCGTCGCTGGCACAAACTGGTTCATAAATAGCGGGACAAACACAACTGTCGCATTCACCTTTATTGACAATAGTCAGTGGTGGTTGTCCTTGTGATTTTCGCTTCTTGTTCTCACAGCCAAGTGTGCAGTTGTTGCCATACGTCTTGCCGTCGCTGGCACAAACTGGTTCATAAATAGCGGGACAAACACAACTGTCGCATACACCTTTATTGACGATAGTCAGTGGTGGTTGTCCTTGTGATTTTCTCTTCTTGTTCTCGCAGCCAAGTGTGCAGTTGTTGCTATAAGTTTTGCCGTCGCTGGCACAAACTGGATCATAGATGTCGGTACAAACGCAGCTGTCGCATACACCCTTATTGACGATAGTCAGTGGTGGTTGTCCTTGTGATTTTCGCTTCTTGTTCTCACAGCCAAGTGTGCAGTTGTTGCCATACGTCTTGCCGTCGCTGGCACAAACTGGATCAAAGATCTTGGTACAAACGCAACTGTCGCATACACCTTTATTGACGATAGTCAGTGGTGGTTGTCCTTGTGATTTTCTCTTCTTGTTCTCGCAGCCAAGTGTGCAGTTGTTGCTATACGTTTTGCCGTCGCTGGCACAAACTGGATCATAGATGTCGGTACAAACGCAGCTGTCGCATACACCCTTATTGACGATAGTCAGTGGTGGTTGTCCTTGTGATTTTCGCTTCTTGTTCTCGCAGCCAAGTGTGCAGTTGTTGCCATACGTCTTGCCGTCGCTGGCACAAACTGGATCAAAGATCTTGGTACAAACGCAACTGTCGCATACACCCTTATTGACGATAGTCAGTAGTGGTTGTCCTTGTGATTTTCTCTTCCTGTTCTCGCAGTCAAGGTTGCAGTTGTTGCTATACGTCTTACCGTCGCTGGCACAAACTGGATCATAGATGTCGGTACAAACGCAGCTGTCGCATACACCCTTATTGACGATAGTCAGTGGTGGTTGTCCTTGTGATTTTCGCTTCTTGTTCTCACAGCCAAGTGTGCAGTTGTTGCCATACGTTTTGCCGTCGCTGGCACAAACTGGTTCATAAATAGCGGGACAAACACAACTGTCGCATTCACCTTTATTGACGATACTCAGTGGTGGTTGTCCTTGTGATTTTCTCTTCCTGTTCTCGCAGTCAAGTGTGCAGTTGTTGCTATACGTCTTACCGTCGCTGGCACAAACTGGATCATAGATGTCGGTACAAACGCAGCTGTCGCATACACCCTTATTGACGATAGTCAGTGGTGGTTGTCCTTGTGATTTTCTCTTCTTGTTCTCGCAGTCGAGTACGCAATTGTTGCTATACGTTTTGCTGTCGCTGGCACAAACTGGTTCATAAATTGCGGGACAAACACAACTGTCGCATTCACCTTTATTGACAATAGTCAGTGGTGGTTGTCCTTGTGATTTTCTCTTCTTGTTCTCGCAGTCAAGTGTACAGTTGTTGCTATACATTTTACCATCACTGGCACAAACTGGATCATAGATGTCAGTACAAACGCAGCTGTCGCATACACCCTTATTGACGATAGTCAGATGTGGTTGTCCTTGTGATTTTCTCTTCTTGTTCTCGCAGTCAAGTGTGCAGTTGTTGCTATACGTCTTACCGTCGCTGGCACAAACTGGATCATAGATGTCGGTACAAACGCAACTGTCGCATCCACCCTTATTGACTATAATCAGTGGTGGTTGTCCTTGTGTTTTTCTACTATTGTTCTCGCAAGTAAGTTCGCAGTTGTTATCATAAGTGTTTTCGTTGCTGGCGCAAACGGGATTGTAATTTTTTGGGCATGCACATAAAGTGCACTGGCCTTTTTTTACAACTTTCAAGGCTAGTAAGCCTTGAATATCACGGTCTTCATTTATGCATTCTAAAGCGCATGTGTTCTTGTAGGTTTTACCATCCGTGGCGCAAACTGGATCATAAACGTCAGGACAAAGGCAGTTAAAACACTCACCAAAATGCGCTATGTAGAGAGTATTTTCTCCTCGATGAATCCTATTTACGTTTTCACATTCCATAAGACAAGGGTTTATGTAAGTTCTTTTATCACTTGCGCAAATGGGTTCATAATTCAAAGGACATGCACATGAAGGGCAATTACCGCGATTTATTATTTCCAAAGCAGGCTTATTATTACGTTTTCTTCTTTTATTTTCACACATAACCTCGCAATCATTATCGTAAGTGATGTTATCACTGCCGCAAACAGGATTGAAGTGTTGTGGACACAGACAGCTTTCACATTCTCCTTGGTAAACTATTCGAATCTGATTTAATCCTAGAGCTGCATAAAATTGATTTACACAGTTTAATGAACAATTATTTTTGTAAGTGTTGCCATCACCGCCACATACTGGCGACAATTCGTCGTTACACTCGCATGTTTTGGAGCATTCACCTTCATGAACTATAATAATAGGCGCCAAGCCGCATTTTTCCCTTTCAATATTTTCGCAGTTCAAATCGCACTCATTTACGTAGCTTTCGCCGTTTGATCCACAGACTGGAGCGGAAACCGCATTACAGTTACAGAAATTGCAAAAACCTTGATGCTTCACTTCTAATGTTGGTAATCCTTTCCGTGCGTTCTCATCGCTGGCACATTGAAGAAAGCAATCGTTTGGATAAGTTTCGTCGTCGGTTCCACACACAGGTGAGAAGACGTCTTCGCAAAAACAATCAAACGGTTGGGATAATACACCATAAGTGTTCACTTCCGTTTTAATACAGCAGATGATCAGAAATATACCTGCGCAATAAATGGCATAATTGAATTATTCTTTTTACCACAATTAATGTAATATACAAGTGAATTTGAATTTCCTAAAAAATAATACTTTTATTCCTTAGCTTTTAAAGACATGAATTGACTGACTTCTTAGGCAGACAAGAGTTATGCTCTGTCTTCAGGACTAGATGTTTGTATGATGATGATATAATAATAGTTAAATATATAATGGAATTAATAATCCAGACAAATTGGAAGGCGATCTTTGAAAAAAAAAATTTTGATTATTTTTATTTAATATTTGTTATTTCATGTAAAATATATATGATAATTACCTATGAGTGTCTTCATCTTCACTTATTGTGTGGCAATGTTAAAATAAGCCTTAATCGACTCCGGCGTAGTTTCACTTCTTCAAACACAATGTTTACTTTGCCATGTTGAGACAATCATCGTAATTTATTATGTCATTATATAACGAGCGAACCAATAATGTAACAGATGGAAATTCTTGCTTGTTTTTTTCATTAAAAAAAGAAGTATTTCATGTGAAATATTAAACGACAAACTGTACGAACTTAGGTTAGAGGTTTGGATCTGCAAAAACATTTACATTTACTATTGGCTATTACATTATCAATAACGTTATTACCTTAACATCACGCCGATTTAATGGTCACATAAAGGTAGCAGCAATAAAATTATTTTGTATATCATGCGGTACCAGTAATAGCGTCCGCAGAAAAACCTTTTATATATCAGCACCTGGCTTCTTTTACAGGTTGTTGATGCAGGTGTAGAATATACTGGTCATGCAACGTGAAAAGTTTATTTCTCTGCCATATTATCACGGACACCTGTAGTCCTAAGGAGTATCGCTATTATTACATTATTTTTGTTATATTTGGCATTAAAGGTCAAAAGTCACGAGGAAAACGGAAAATTCCATTTATTTTTTAGCATTATTAATCGGACTATACTAGTCTTCTTTATATGAGAATCAATGAGACGAAGAGGCTTAACAAACAAGTTTTAAGCATGTTTTTAAATTGATGAGCAAAATACTCTACATTTTTTTGTGTAGAAGAATTACTGTTACCTTCACTACTGGGTAAAAATCTAGTGGTGAACAGGAATGGTTTACGTTGCATTACGTGGTCTATAAATGTCTCCTACTTACATACTAACAAATGTGAATTGTCAGACAAAAAAATTTGTAGCACGGTAAAAAAGTGTATTTTAGTATAAATTCCTGCCTAAAAGCAAGCGTTCTAAACACGAAAACTTATAATTCGCGAATTGAGTTATGGGAACAGGGTGAAGGGAAAAACATATGAAATATGACGTAGGATATTAGAAACTTCAATGACGGTCATCAAAAGTTGAATATCTTAGTTTCACTGATGAATAAATAGTAAGTAATGATAAATTTAAGGTTCATTGTTATCGCTGACATTGAATGTTCTTTATTCCTAGCATTCCTTCCATTTAAGTTTACTCAGGTTGCATATCATTTGACGTATGACGTCAGACTTTATAAGCATGACGTATCCCAATAACCTATTGTTTTGTGTTTTCTTAAGAAAATAATATGCCGATGTTCCATTTTTATTTATCATTCTCTGAAAGCAGACTTTTTTTTGTGACAAAGCCATGAAAATAACGGCTTAAACCTTTAAGAAATTATGAGATACAATCGTTTGAATACTAAGAAAGTTTTCCGCTATTGACGAAATTGAGACGAATAAAGATAAGATTTTTAAAGTTTATCTGCTTTATGTCAAATAAATCTATTTTTTTTTTCTTAACGAAAACATAAAAAACTAAAACGAAAACTAAATTTTTTTATGAGCAATTTATGATTATGCAATCAATTGCCATTTTGTTTATATAAAAGATAGTGATAATAAGTCAATATAATGTAAAAAAACCCTTTAATATTTAGTGCGATATTCACCACTTTTTCAAAAAAAAACATACAATTCTCAAAAAATAAAATTCAAAAATTTCCTGTATTGACTTACGGTGACCGATCGCGGTTCTATTTAGAAAAAGTAAACGGGTCAATAAGTAAGAAAATGTAATTGACAACGAATTTAGCGTTAACATGGAATTGGAAAGTTTGCAAAGACGTGGATAGGATTGGCAGATTTGTCGACCGGTGTTTCAGGATTAAGATTGTGCATACACTATATCGATACAAAAGGATGCAATATGACGTAAAGAAGCCCGCTCTCAAGTACGGACGGAAACTGAGATAGTTTAGTAGCACTCGAGTTCTTTGTACCGCGCCCTTGCTCTTCACTATAAAGGCGGATAGCCACTGGTGAGACCTTAAGTGGCCGCCAGCAACAACCGGGTCACGGGTGTGAACTACTCTTGTGGATAAAAGAGTAATACGTTCACATGTTTCGTTCAATATGGTGTGCCAAGAACGATTTTAAACACAGAACTAAATTCAAGATAAATAAAGACTCAAGACAGATCTCTCTCTCTATGGTAATGGCAATATTAAAAACAACTGAAGGTATAATGGTTACGTTTCACATTTCGAAAAACCAGTCTTAAACGCCAATGTACACGCAAAACTACTACTTTCATAAAATTTTCAACACATAATATGATATCATTTTTAACTTACCGTAAGCTTTTTACTTTGATGGCTTGGGCCATTTTAAACCCCCGAACCACCTTTTTGAATAAAAAGAGGCAGAAAGTAAGTCTTAAGTAAGAAGTAAGTCTCTTAAGTAAGAAAGACTAGTAAATGATTTACTGCTACCTCACTTACCAGACGAAAGAAGTGCAACACGTATACTTCACGCCGGTCTTCCATGAGGACGGACCTGCCCATCCGTGCCACAGGGTACACTGTTGTGTCGCCCTACCACACCCCTTTACGAGAGCCGTGATAGCTCAGTGTCCGGGCGCTCGCCTTTAATTTGATACTATGACTCGAGCAACCTGAGTTCGATCCCTGCTGCGAGCAACAATGAAATTGTCAATTTTAAGTGCTCAATTATCACGTGCCCAGCGGTGAAGGAAAACATCGTCAGGAAACCTGCATATTTTCGAAATAATAACAAAAACAAAATATTTCGAAGATATGTGAAGTCCGCCATGTCAATCCGCAGAGGAGGCCTTTGCCCAGCAGTGGGGCATGTATAGGCTGATACTATACTATGCTTAATCAAGTGCACATTAATATTCCAAATAACAGCTCATCGTTGCGGCTTTAATATCACTCGCAAATCCCGCATACAGTTGGTATTGCGCGGTGGTGAATTCTAATATTTCAGCTGTCTGAGTCGGGTCGACGTGTGACGAACGCCGCGGGCGCTGTGCGGAAATCCCACTGGTTCGCTACACGAATAATTTATAACCGGGGGCGCGCACCGTTCTTTGGCACGTGATAAAGGTGTAGCTTGTTTCAGGATAACCGCCCAAAATCTTCGGAGCCGAACTAGTTGTTGGCTTCGAAGATTTTCAAGACCGTTCTGAAGTTTCTTTAATTGATACGGTGATATTATTATGTTTATTTCACACATTCTACGTTTTTATTTTTTATTTATTTTTATGGTATAGGAGGCAGAGCAAGTGCGTTGCCTGAAGATAAGCCATTTCGGAATACCATCTACTTTTTTTTTACGTTAGAAAGTGGCAAACGATCTGGCAGTTCACCTGATGTTATGTGATAACTGTAGTCCATGAACAATTGCAACACCCGTAAGGTTGCAAATGCGCTGCCACCTTTTAATAAAGTAGGCCCCGGCTACCTCACTCACCAGACGAAACGCAGAAGTGTAACACTTGTACTTTACACGGGTCTTCTATGAGGTCGTGCTACTCACTCGGACGGACCTGCCCATTCGCGCAACAGAAAACACTGTTGCGAGGCCCCACCACAGCTAAACTTGCAACACCGGAAGTGGTGACTATTAAACTTAGTTGAATATACCTATAGAACAACAGAAATTGAACACGTTATCTATCAACGAACAGACTAACCCCCATAACAAACATAACAATTTGGTAAGTGTTTTGGAAATCCGATATTTTCAAATTTAGCATGTGAAACTCATTTGAGGGTATTGACGTTAAAATTATACACATACGCATAGATCGCGGTGCAAGTAAATTTAACTAAAACTAAAATATTATTTTCAAATACTAAAGATATTGAGGCGAGTTAAAGAAAACCGGGCAAGTGCGAGTCGGACTCGCACACTGAGGGTTCCCTACCATTATGATTCATGAGATACAGCCTGGTGACAGACAGACGGACAGACAGCG